ATTCAATCGATTTTTAAATATTTTTTAGAAATAATATAAGAATATTTCCATGGTATATAGATGAATATAAACATTTAGAAAAGTAAGGGCGATCGCCAATTTGCCGTTTTCAATTCTATATATTTGAAGTTACATAAAATATTTACATAATTTATTCATGTATGAATATACAAAGGCGAGAGTTCGATTATTGGTAATAAATACTCACATGTTACAACACGAGCAGGGTCAAAATTATATTTCGACACATGAATAAACTTTATCAATGTAATTGAGTTTATTAGGTGTATCATCGAAAACTCTGAGCAACAACTGTCCCATTAGTGTGAACATTCTCGCGGAGAAATTGAAAATTATTGATGCACTTAACTCAAGGAAACACGATACCTATAATTTTCTTCTACTACGAGAAGATATCGATAACGACGAACAGCGGAAGAGCTCAAATAGTATAGTGATAACATTAAGTTAAATAAAAAACGAATGTTAAAAACCAGTTGAGAGCATTATTTACGTTCGCGAACGTGTTTCTTACTACTACGGTGTCATTTCCATAAAAGATACAGGTAAAGAGGAACATATTTCTCTGATGATTCGCGTTAAATAAGTGAGATTATCTATATTATCACAATACTAGTAGGCAGTACAACCAGTAATAAGTCTGCTTGTATCTCGCTTCGCGTTTAAAATTAGTTTGTTCAAAAGAATTGTTCATACTTCTAATAGAAATCACGATAAATGTGCCATTGGAAGAAAGCAGGGAAAACAGAATATAGTCGGTTGTCTCTTACCTTTGAACCGTTTTACCCGTAAACGTTCCCAGGACTCACAAAGAGACGCACCTTTGCGGAGTACCTGACGAGGATGTTAGTTCGCGGTCTCGCGACCAGCGGCCGACTAGATCGTTCAGCTTCCCCCATCGCGGTTGTAATATTCGACAAGTCGTTCCACCACTTCTGCCGACCCCGCTTCTCCAGTTCTCCACACTTCCCCGGTCCTCCGATTCACCGGCTACCTGTACGGACAAAAGAACACGACATGAATTTAACCCAAGGCAGAACCGTTTTGTACCACATGTTCCACGTATCCCATGTTTTACGCAAAACAAAAACCCTGTCAAAGTGGTTAAGGCTAACTTCAACCATTGTGACCAAGTTTGTTTATGTGCACAAACCTGGGTGTAATTAAAACTTGTAAAACCTGTTTTTCCTGTGTATTCACTTAGTTTTATGATCGACTGGTTTTCCATCTTTTCGGTTACTTACTTATCCAGTTCTCTTCTGTTTCAAGTGAATTCCGCAGTCGGAATCAAACCCAGAGCATCGTATACACGTGATCTATATTATCTAAAAGAATCCCCTTGTCAATCGATGAAACAGTATATTAACTCTTTACAAGAAGTACCTTGCACACCTGTATGTTATTTTCACAAACCTTTGAATAAACCTGTTTCTTCAAACTTTCACGTCGGAAATCTTTATACGAAATAACTCAATATAATATATTGCCGTACTGTTTACATGATAAAATATTATCGTTCACATAGGTATGTAAATTGACTAGATGAAGATGTATATTAACATAAACATATATATACATATACAAGCCTTCATGCACAACGTTCTATAAATATATAATACTGGGTGTTGCAAAAAGATGAACCCAATTTCAATACACTTTTTAATACAAATCGGATCCATATTTCAACAACGCTCTACATTATATGCACTTCATACTTCATCGATGAATATTGTATTTAATATAGGTATGCAAATCCGTTGTACGTATTTGTATATTTTTTGTGTGCATTTGATACTGAATACATATCGCATTGTAGATGTGTGTATACGTGTTAGAACGGTGTACACTACGTACAGTTTAATGGCAAGAAGCACTTTCGTGAAGCACTAATACGCTACTTACAGAAATTATACGTAGTAAATTCCTTTGAAATCTTTCTTACTTCTGTCTTATTTCAAAATATAGCAATTTGCAATAATGGTTTCGCCATTCCTTAACAAGTGCGTATTTTTTCTCGAGTAGAAATTGTTGGTTTAATTTCTAATCATTAGTGTTGTCTAATCGTTGACAGATACGTAGACTTGAAAATTCTATTTAAAATTCTCTACTAAGAAAACGGCACTTATTGACTAATGTTTAAATTAGTTTTTCGTATATGCATAGGTATAGTGTCTCATTTTTTGTAACAATGAGATTTGTTTTACATAACGTTCTGTTTTTAAATATTTATATGATATTCTTTCCTCAAAATAAAGGCTTTCAATAATTCTATTACTACCTACACAGAACATATACCTATCATATATTTATATTGACTATCTACAGGTATCCATAAAATATCTATAAGATATGTAAAATAGGGCTAAATGACCGTCTAATATACGTATGTTGTACATAATTAAGATATGTAAATGCAACGTAATAAGATATCTAATATACATACACTACAATATCTATTTTACATATATCAAAACTCAGGTCAATCTTAAACTAATGTTGCAACATATTGGACAAATTACGAGGCATGTTGTTATGGACATTTACTATGTGCCTGTAGCACTGTCAGTATTCTTACATATTTTTATTCTGAAGGGGAGGTAACATCTTTTTATTCATTGCTTGGGTGTGGGTGTGTTGACTCGATCATCGTTTTCCCCTTCCCTCGTTTCCAGGTGAGAACAGTTTTTTGTCGAAGCAGAGCTACAGTATAGGCATCTGAAACAGTAAGGCAGAACGGTATTAAGACTTGAACGTCAAGAACGGTGTTGGGTCTTATATACAAACGATTATACGTACCACTTGCGGGAAAGCCACGCGAGCGCCAGGCGCCATCTACCGGATCCTGCCGAAACTACTGGTGGGAACCGCCAAGAGAAACAACAGTAGACAACGATTTCGGAAGACGAAAAATATTATTCTGAAACTAAAAATAAACAGATAGTGAATAAAAAATGTGCTAATGACGATATCGATAAGTTTACAGCAAAAAGAGACTTACCTCTATCATTCTCGTGCAACTCATCAGAATCTTCTCGCACTGAAGAGTATGTGGAATATCCATACATCTATATGAAATCTGTATCATTGACATACACTAGCTATACTGAAGATAGATCTATTTTACGTATACAAATCTATATCACTTATACGTTCTTATTAGATATTCTCTAGATAATTGCAGATATCGGGGTTTGATACACGAATATCTATAGTTGATCTATATCCCCACATACTGTTCATATATAAAAGATATATATTTATATTAAGTCTGTTAAACATCTAAAAAGTATGTACATAATACACAATCACATATATCTAGGTTCGATATATGCCTATTTATAGGGATCTATGAGATATCTATAAATAGCCAATACGCGTATATAATGCGAATATGATTTGCATGCTGTTATACGTAATATATATATAAATATATAATGTACAATAGATATCGTATTACGTCTCACATGCGTATACGATTTACGTATTATTTATGTACAGTAAACAACCGTGTAATTCGGCATGTACAACTCTTTCCAGTCCTCGTTACAAATTTGTTGTAAATGTACTAATGACCTAGTACATATCTCATAGATAGTGAATATACGTATTTTTCTCTCACTCTCTCCCTTCTGGCCACTTTTGACTTCTCGGGGGGTCAAACCTCCATAATTACGTCTACATAGGGAACATCAATTATGTATATATCTTTTCGATGTTAAATAAACGTAATATGAATATATACTTTTTGTATATGAATAGAATATGTTGATATAGATCAGCCATAGATATTCATGTATCAAACCCCGATATTTGTGATTATCTATAGAATATTTATTATGTCTACGTCTCTTACGATATTAAGCAGATGTTATATACAATATATGATATATAATATATTATGTATATTATATATAGTACATGAACAGTATATGCGGATGTAGACCAACCATAGATCTGCATATATCCAACTTAGCTATGTACAATTATCGAGAGAATATCCACCATGTATGTATACTTTTATATTAAATAGATGTAATATGTATATGTACGTTTTTTATATGAATAGTATATGCGAATATAAATCAACGCGTACACTAAACTTAGGTATCTGCGATTATCTATAGCATATCTAATGACTGCGTATACGTGCTATAGATCTATATTCGTAAAATAGATACATATATTCAGTATTGTGCGTCCAAATATTCTTCTCCGACCCCGTGGGCTTAGGTGGAATTCCTCAATCGAAGGCGCAGCACATTTATTGAAACAAAATTATATTTCCCAAAAATTACACACGATCCGGACTTTCTTAGTCGCGCCAAACAGAGTCCTAACAGCCACCACGTTCTCGCGCCTATTCGAGCCAGCATTGCCAACAAGGCGCACAAGCAGCACTATTGCTAACTAGGTTTACTAACGCCCTCACCGCACCACGCGACCGAGGCGCTATATTCGAAATCTATAACGCGTCTAGTATAGTTAGCGTCTATGAACGATAGAGATTTCCTATAGATATATGGATATTCCATACATATCTAATATACGTATATTATACCTATCGTTACGTGTGCGTAATACGCTCACTATTTTTTAACTAATAATGTGTGAAATATATTTCCTCATTAAATAAAAATATTTAAATATGTATATTCTGATTATTTTAATGCTTCGAAAGAAAGACATAGGTACTCATAATTTATTGTTAATTTCCAAAATCCTTTCGCAACGGATTTATGCATTACATTTCTACTGGTCCGAGCATTGATGTCCAAATAAATGCAGATTTTTACATTTTTCATAGCTTCAATTATTTTCATGATTCTTATATATTATATTAGAAAACAATGAATTGATCAATTTCGCAAATAGTGACTACTTATATTATTATATGCTTATAATTAGATCGTGAAACACTCATTGGAACCTAAATTTTTATTTTCTGTTTAATTTCGATTAGCTCGTGAGTTTTGGCTTACGTCGGTTTCTTCTTTAGCGGGTGATAAATTATTAACCGGTTCCTATGATTCATCATTCGCTTTGTATTCGATACTCAAGAGCTCAAATTTATCTTCGCTATTCGATGGCACGATTTTTTTAAATTTCACTGGATTGATCCGGGTAATCGTTCACCTCTTCGTTCTTGTTATCGTAGTCATTATTGCCAGCATCATCTTCAGCACTGATCCTATCTAACATAAACCGATCTTCATCAACTTCATCGTAAACTTCCTTGTTCAGATGGTTTGTCAAAAATTCGATGTCATTGCGTTCCGGACTTGCCATCGTATATTTCTAATTTAATGAGAAATTGGATATTAATGGAAAGGCCATGTATTATTTACCTAAATTTACGATTTTGTTGGTCACGATTTCTTAAGCTTCTTCGTGTCTTTCTTTAAAAATAATTTTAAGATAATTTCAAGTACTCTTAAAATTCTTTCAAAAATATAAACGTCTTTTTAAGCATTTATTGTGAACAAAATTATTCATATATAACTGTATTACAAAATATTTCATATTATTACAAAAGTTTCTAATGTTAAAACTATTGTTATTGTGACCAGAATTTCTTCGAAACTACTAGCAGGAAATATGTATAATATATTCTTCACATTTTATTTCGGAAATAATGAAAATAGAAGCAATTATTAAATTGTTAGTACAATGTCGTATAAAGCTTTAGAAGATTATTTGTCAATAAAAAGTATATCAAATATCGATAAGAGATTTATTGACATTGGTTAATCTACAAATGTATGATTTTTATTGTTAGTTAATTTCATTCAAACTTCAACATTCTTACCTGTTCAATATGATGATTGGAAGCGCTTTCCTCATAATCGTACGTGTAATCATAATTGGTATCCTGATCGACCATAGGTTGAGCCACTGTAGATACAGAGTTATCCTTCGAATGACTTTGAAATTCAGAACTATATATATCTTGATCATTATTCGTCCCATAAACATTCTCATTACTGGGTGAATAATGTTTATTTGAAATTCTCCCCTCATTTCCAGATTCATCGATCTTCCGTTGAACTTCTAAATTTTCAACCTTTTTTAAGAATTTCAATGTGTCATCTTCGCTCTCGTTACTATTCTCCATGTCATAAGTATAACCCATCATCGTCTCTGTAGGATCAGTTGCTGGAGGTTTCGATTCATCAATTTTCGGCTTTGTGAATGGCCTATTTAAATTATCTAAAGATAAATCTTGATCATTCGTGCCCTCGATCATTTTTCTCGATATTGACTCGTCGTCTTTTGAATGTTGATCCATTTCAAATGTACTACTTGGTATCGCCGTTTTTCGTCCAATAAAAATGTTACCTGGATTATCCAGATAGTCAAGATCACCCTCTATGAGATTGGATCCTGGGCCTCTTGACATGTACGGATTTTGATTCTTGATCTCTGGATGGTAATTATCTGGAGGCTGGATTAGGTTTCGGTCATCTCGTATCGAATATTCTTCGACACTTGGTAGGTCGCCATTAAATTCAGTAGGCCTTAAAGGAATTGGCGAATCGTCATCAGTTTCGATGAGAGGAAAATCCGCTTTTTGTTTAGACAAATTCAACGAATAGAGTGGACTTCTATAACCGAAAGACACCGCTTGATCTACTGGTGTATCCTGCTCTATGTATAATGGATCCATTGTTTTCGAAATTTCTCCTGAATCGAAATAATCGTCAAATTTTGCATGTGTCAAATCTGTGCGTTTTTTGCTTTTCATTTTGAAGGTTGTCTCGCGTTGTTGGTTTTTGCGACCTGTTCGATAAAGATAACGAGAATTCTGGAAAATGATATTAAAGTTATCAAAGCAATTCTTCAGACTACACATCTTGGAAATTTTATTTTTAATGCCCTGCGACAAAGGTTCCTGTATAATGTTTTTCCTCAAAATCAATCCCAACTATGTATGTTTTGAATAATACATTTTACTAAAAGGTATGTAAATAATAATTAATACCGTCTTGTTCAGTGGTGCAGATTAATGTGTTTAAGATATATTTTTATTGTGACGTGACGATTCGGTCTCTCTAGACGGACCCTCTTCGGGTTCCGGTAACGTTTACAGTTCTAACATGGTCTACATCACTTATGGAGTTAACATGAAAAATAGGTCCAACATGAAAATAGTTTATATATGAACATAAACGATCGAAAAACGTCTGTACAGAGAGACCCAAATATCACGTCATCCAAATGTTATATTTTAAACACGTTGTCGTGCGTGGAGGTCGGTAATTACCACCGGCCCCGGAATTTTTCGCTCTTCACCCGAGCGAGACCCTTTGACTCCCTGGGGCGACTTGGTATACCGGCGCCTTGACCCGCCGGCGGCCGTGTTGCCGATGTTACGTGGCGGCCGAGGGGATGCGAGGCCGACGGGAATGTTCGGGTTTTGCCCAATAAGGCCTTACCTCGAACGTCCACGTAAGGATCAGATATTATTGTGAGGAGATGGTCCGAGCGGCTAGACCAAATCCTCTGGTGAGATTTGTAGGAATGGGGAGCTAAGGAGGGCCCAATAAATGGAGGTTATCAATAAATTGACGAGGATGTATATATTTGTCTTTCCGTCAAATGGGGTTTATACAAGTCGTGAGGGTCCTCGAAGGTGCTCGCGATTAATTCATACGATTCTATTTCGTTCCGCGTTGCGGAGTTTCGGGTGACGCGATAAGGCGGTCAGTGGCAGTAGGTCACTTGACGCCTAATCTGCTAATGTGGCACTTCTTGCACTCTGAATTTGTGAGGTTTGCGTGACTCTAGCGCGAAACAAGATACTGAAATGTTGGGAGATACACAAGACTTAATCTATCCGGTTAACCGGAGCTAGGCATGGAATTCAGGTGGTTTTAGTTGCGATGAAAGATGAGGTTAGGATTAATGATGAAGGTGACCCGAGCTTGCGAAAGGGCCTGTACCTGGCTTAGATCAGCGGCCCAATTCGGTGACGTCCGCCTTAGATCGATCAACCGGATGACTGTGCGTGAACGCTTTCTGCCCGTGACGTGCCCTAGGGTTGGAGGTCTCCTCGGAGCCTCCCGTCCAACGGATGTACTAGTGCCGCCGTCCCTTCCTGGATTGATGATCTTGGATCGCCGGAGTACCGCGCAGCACGACTGTAGCTCGGGGTGCAGGTGATCCTCCAAGTTCGATGGTTTCGGTCTTAGACTCGCTAGGAACTGAGAGTCGAGAACCAAAGACTCCAAGCTCGTGGTCGATGACGATGATGGGTCCGTGAGACTTGATGTGAGTCTGACCTTTCTTCTAACTGACTGCGACTAACTGCCCAATAACTGGACGGTTGTTGGTTTTTATCGGCGAATTTGGGACGGCGCTCCAATTGGTGGGGGTTCCATGGTTTAGACGAGGGCGGTGTTTGCAGGGGTGGAGGATATGTTGCAGCGTCACCAGGATGCACTTGGGCCCGGTTGATCGCGACCTGGTCTACTTGGGTCGGTGGCGAGATCTTAGTCAGGTCGACTGAGTCTTCATTTCGCAAGCGTATGTCAAAATCGCGTGCTAATTTATGGAATTCCATGGCTACCTTCCGATTTACCGGGTCGCGATTATTTCGTAAATAGTGTCTACGTAACACCAAAGGGGCTCGAACCGCGAGCTTGAGCCGGATTGGTCGGGACGTCCTAATGGGACCCCACGTCGACCCGGGGCCTCACCCTACCCTCTCGCTCGCTCCTTTTCAGCGTGGCAGTCGGGAACCTCCGAACCCCACCTGGAGATCTGGCGACCAGACGCGGCGGCCGGCGCGGGCCCGGCGGGCCTCGGATAGGGGTTTTACGGCTCTCCAGAAAAACCCTGAGCCGTGGGCCCTGTCTAACCGGGACGGCGCGCGCTAACGGTGACCCGCTTCGAATCGGGGATACGCGGCTTTCCCCGGCCAGCTTAATCACTCCCTTCCACGAAAGTCGTCCGAAAAATCCTTGCAGCCTGGCCGCCGGTACGCGACCCTTTTTGAGTCCGTACTCACCCGCGGACCCGGGTGCCCACCCCTCCGTCGGCCCGCGCCCCTTGCCGGGTCGGTTTTCACCGACGGCGCTCCCCTCGACTCTTTCTCCCCCTCCCTCTCACTCGGTCCGTCCCTTGAGACCCGGGGATCGGGCCCTCTCCGCGCTCGCGCGTGGATACTCCGAACCCGATCGCGCTTATCGTCCCTCTAGGCCCTCTCGGTTCGCGACCCCCCCTCCCCGTGCGTCGCGAAGCTCGCGTAGCCGCCCCCGCGGCTGCGCGCAGTTCGCCGGCCCTGCCCCTCAGGCACGCGCGCATGCTCGGACCTCGTGCCTGCCCGCAACCGATGATAAGCCCTTTCCGGCTACCATCTCCCCTTCCCCTCTCCTCCTCTCCTCTTGCATTCCCGCCTCTCATTCCCCGAAAAAAATTCCGGACCCCGCAAGCGGGCCCACGGCCGGTGCGCGCACCGTGTCGCGCCGCTCACGGACCGCACCAAAACGTCTTTCCGACCGACCCGCGCCCCGAATGCACCGAAGGAGGACGTCGCTGCCGCGTAGACTAACGATAAGAAAGGACTTAGGCGTGTCCCTCCGTACAGACGTGAAGTTTTTCGCGCCACGTGGTGCGTGACGTGGCCATCACGGGGCCGGCCGCTCGGACGGCCCGGCATGGCCACCCGCTATAAAACCCCTCTATCTTTGGATTAAAAGATACGCCGCCCTCGCGGAAAAACCGAGGGACAAAGAGGGCCCCGTAAGGGCCCTCATAGCTAAAGTAAGACAACCTAGGATAGGCTTAGTATATAAAGAGTCCGAAATTCGGACTCGCCGTCTTGTCTGTCAGTCAGTTTTTCACACTGTCCGTGATTATCCCTCACCGCGACTCGGCGTCGACACCGACGCCCCCTCGTCGGCACCGACGCTACCTCGACGCCTCTGATGCCTCCGACGCCTCTACCCGAGGAACGCGACCGACTGTACCGCCGCGAGCGGAATAAAGTGATCGCAACCATCCAATCTCCAACTTGTACAGTTCGCCTCGTCCTTCCCTCCACGTTTCTGGACGTTTCGCGCGCTTCGCGCCACCAGGCCCTCCGTCTCGCATACCTCGCTCTTCTGCGTTACCGCGTTACCGCGTTTCCGCGTTTCCGCGCTTCGGCGCTTCCGTACGCACCGCCGACTCCTCGCACCAAACCGTTGTGTCTCCACACCCGAACGGAACACGTGACAACGTTAATCTGCCCTGCCTAACAAGACGTTATTCGTTAACAAAAGACAAGATCGAAACAAAATAGGCACACAGACGTATTTTCAGCCTGACACAACCAAACCTTTTATGAAAGCCTCCCTCTTCTTCCGCATATATAATTTTAACTCTCAAAATATATTGCAAGATTCAAGTAACTATGTTAAGAAATAGAATTTTAGAGGTACGCATTTTAACCTAAATCTAGATATAGTTATTTTACTCACTGATCCTGTGTTTTTAAATTGCTGGACTTCCTCTTTGTCCAATCCAAGAATATTCTTTTTCCTGTAAGGATTTTTGTTTTCTTGCCCCCGACGATGTGGATGCCGAAGAGAACTCCTAAGTGCGTTCCCATCGTTTCCTTGGTCATAAAACTGCCGGAACACCTTTCGAGGATAGTCCTGATTACCAACAGGCAGTCCAAAATTCCGCGTTCGAAAAGCATTCCTCAAGGCAGCAAAATACTTGCGATAAACCTCGTAAGGATTGTAAAATCCGTTTGAAGATTTGGCGTAATAAAACGGCGAGACTCGTTGCATCGTTTTATCGTGATCACCCGAAGGGTATCCATAAGCTGATTGGTAGTAAGTCTCGAGACCTGGATCATGATTCGATTCCGAAACAGCTTTGGGTAGTCGATTTGGCATGAATAATTGATCTGCCTTTAACTTATCGTTTATCGGGTTCGAGCTCTTTGCAATATCCCCGTCTTTATTTTTTAAATTAGAAACATCGACTTCAGGTACTGTTCGCCGATAAGTCATGGGAGCTTGATGTAGATTTCGAAATTCAGCCATTTCGTTTGAATTGAGATGTCCATTCACTAAGTTCATCACGGTCCTAAAAATGTATGAACTCTAATTCTTAGTTGTCCATCTACTTATATACTATTGCTTTCTCGGTATTCATTTGTTATAATCATTGTTTAATTTCAATTCCATGGTCTTAAACTTATTCAAACTATTCAACCTTTTGAAATTCCACAATAAATTAACTACAGTATGTTTGGTACCAAATTAAAAGTTAATCTTTTGATAGTTATTTGGAATCCATACGTAGAAATGTATTTACCAAATCTTTTGTTCATACATTTATTAAAACTTGTTAATTTTATAGTAAATCATTTAAATTACCAGGGAGGTAAAAGGTTTCGTTATTTATAGATTATAATACAGAATGTTATTGTTTGAAAGAATGAATATGATTTGAAATTACCATGGATATAAGTAGTTTATCCTGTCTAGACCATAGTTGTACACTGATGGGTCTTTGAAAATTTGCCCAAGATTTGAAAAACGATCCATGATCTCTTCAGAATTCGATGGTATAGATTGAACTTCTGCCACAGTGGGTGAAACAGACATAGGGTCATTCAAGGATGAGATTGACTTCCGATCACTTAATGTGACGTCCGGAATCTAAGAAACATTGATAAGAATGGAGCAGTATTGATAAATCTAAATAAAAAATGAGCCGCGCAAGTAATACGTTACAGTTCAATGTAACTTCACCGTAACAGGCGGTGAACATGAAATAGATAATAAGATGTAATATATAGATATGTAAATATATTTAAACAAAGAACTATTTCGCAACATGTAAATTTCAATTTTTGGTTGATAAGTTGTTAATATCGAAAAAATAGATGTTCTGCGACTATACCGAAAGGCTTTCATTGAAGAAACGACGAACTGCATTGTAGTACTTTAGATTCGGATTCTCTAAATTATTTGTTGGCTGAAGCACTGTTGCATTTGATCCAAATTGCAGGCTTAATTTCCTACGAATCTCTGGGGGATTCGAAATATTACCAATAAATTGAGCATTGTTCCATAAAATAGGTGTTCTTGGCGTAGTAGCAATCTGAATTTAAATTAAAACAAAGTTGATTTAAATGAATTCAAGTAAAAAAATGGGTACGCGAACATTGTGAAACGTGAATGGAGCTTTTGTTCCTTTGTTGGACTTTTATCGCAATTCCTGACTTGTGGCGATTAACGTGAATTGATAAAACTTACCAAGTCATTCTGCTGATTCTCAAATCTCGGAAATACAGCTTCTCGTCCGTTTCCCGTATCAATCTTATCAGAATCAGTACGGACAGGCTTATGTGCATCAACGGAATGTTGCGACCATGATTCTGGTAACCATTTCTGAAACTCCGATCTGTTTGAGGTTATTGTCCGCAATTCTTCTAACCAAACTTCAAAGGACGAAGGATCTGTCATCTCCTGGACCGATTGAAGCCATTGCACAAATTGCTGTAACGGTATAAGTTTTTCGATTTTCAAATAAAGAATATTCCTTATAACAAATTCAGACAATCTGATCTCAGAAATCCATGAACGTTAAACACCAACATATCCTGAGAATGATATTATCAATATGAAACATTTATTTCAATTACATTGATGTTTCTAAACGGCTGAGAGTCTTCGCAGCGTCTGATACAGTCTTTTTAAATTCATGTAATGCCAAATGTATTAAAAATATCCATGGAATAGAACTATTTCACGTATTTAGAGAATCCTATCAATCATATAAATCTTTATCAAAGTTCTTGTACATTTTGACATTTTTGTAGCTTTGAAGATGCATCGACATTTATTAGAACCTGTTATCATCACGATGCATACCCACAAATTGAATTCAGGAATATGTCTCAAATTTTACCGGGTAATTTTCTCCTCTGTTTGCATATTTCACCCAGGAATTAATTGCATCTATCCCTGTCTTCATCTTCAAGTGCTGAAGCCACGAAGAGACCGTCAATCCGCGAGTGAGTTGATGGTCTTGTTCGATTTCCGGCAAAATGGAGTCCATCGGTCTTGCAGTCGTCGCAACGTACACAGGCGGTTTGTAAATCGGCGGATCGTGATAATACTTGGATCCACTCGACCAGGAGTCACCAGCAGGATGAGGAAACGATCGACTAATTTCTTTCTCCCTAAAAAAACAACTTAACTGTCGAAACAATTTCAATGCTGAGTGCAGGCTAAGAAAAAGAGATAAATTCTTACTTTGGTTCCAGATGCACTTCTCCGTACAACCGATTTTGTAAATCATGGTGTTCTGATATTGGTGACGTGAAAGTCTGAAAAGAACAGTCGCGAGGTAATGTTACATTAAAGTTATATTGAACAGAGTATTTTTTTAAGTATTTATAAACCTCTATAGTGGGTGAGAGTTATCGTATTGCAGTTAAGAAAGTAAAGCCTATAAAGTAACAGGAACTCGATATTAAAGTGAGTGCTATCCTGGTACATTTGCACATTGTGTTCTACGAGCATGATTCACATTTTATTTTACATGTTAAATACTATAATATGATGATAATATTTTCCATCGGATCCAGAACTGATCAGAAAAGGGCAATTGTTTTAATTCTCTAGACATATTAATGGTTTGTTTACCGGTTTGTTTGTTTGAGTTTGAACCGTAGGCGATACTTTTGTTGAAAATGTTTCCTTTCGACGCTTCTCTTGATCTTGAAGAATCAGCTCCTTCTCAATCTGTGTTAGAGTCTTTTTTGTTGTCTTTATCGGCGGCAAAAATAAAATTACAAATAACATTTAGCATTATTGATAATGTTTTCTTATGTTTCGATTGTAGAAGTGTCGAGGGATAGAACATTTTTATAAAGAGTTGCACCTTAACGTCTTCATGGGGATTGACGGGATTCAAGTTTGGAACCATAGATCGTAACGTGTCTAGGCTAGGAAGTTCCGGATTGATTGACAAATTTCCTGGTTTGATCAAGGGGCCGTGACAAGACCGAGTGATCTTGCAATTATCGATTCGGCATGGCTCTTGAATTTGCGCCGAGCACTCCTGATTTCGGGGGCACACCCAACCTCGGCAATGTTCGTTCGTTTCAGCATCATTTTCTAAAAATAAAATCATTTTTGTTTAATGATTCTTTTGTTTTAATCATATTAAGGGAGACCGAGGCAAGTTGTCCCACGGGGTAATTTAACTAATGTTTAATAAAGTTTTTATTTTTTACTTAATATCATTCTTAATTTTATCTTTGATTCTTAATTGCGTCCCACATTTTTGTCGGTACTTAATATAATTTTTGCAGCATCGTTTAGTTATAAAAAAGTAAAACACAAAAACTATGATGGAAAGTAAATTTTTCCAGTCCTTTTTTTCTGTTTTAGTCTAATGTGTTGCATTTCATCATTTGGAAAATATGACATGTGAAAAGAGCATCTATTTAGCTTCGCATCGCTGTGTATATATTTATAAATAAAATTGTTTATCATTTGTCAATATGCTATCGATTGTTAAAATGACGTTCGGGCCAAGTTGACATACTCCAAGCGGGGCAAGTTGACTGACAAGCTCTTGACGTGGCGTTGACTGTTAGTTTTTCTGTCATCGTCTGTGTTTCAGGTATATCCCAAATAATTACTTATTAGTTCGCTTAAAATAATGAGCTAAGCTTGGTGTACTTTAAATTTATTGCGGAATTTCTTCAATTGATCGGTCGGTGTATTATCTGTTTTCCTTGCAAGTAATCGTAACTCAACCTCTTTCAATGACAATCTTCAATGTTTTGAGATTTTCTACCAACTACAACGAAAAAAACTGCGTTAAAAAAAGTTTCAAAACCCTTGTTAAAAATGTGCCGCAAAGTAGAAAATGATTTTTACTTATATGACTGGAAAAAAGTGTGGGTCATTCATAATACAATTTCGTAAAAACAACGATTCTAGTACGGTGAACATTTTTTATCTTTAATATTGTAATCGGTAAAGTTTTTATAAAATGTTGCTATCTGTCAAATTAGTCGCCTGAAAAAAAAAGTTAAGTTTTATGATGAGAGCTCCATGCTTCTATTTTTAGTCATATAAGTAGAAATTATTTTTACACTTTACAATGCATTTTTAATAACGGGGTGTCTGTAGAATTATTTTAATGCGTTTTTATAATTTTGTATTTTTTATTATCGTATCGTCATCGGAACGACGTATGTGTGCAAAGTTATCGTCGTCTTTCTTGTGCATTTTTTGTGGATCAGGTCTCCTACAAATTTCTGATTAGTACTCGTTTAACACTTCCGACACATTTGTAATTGTAACAAGTAATAATCAAAGTAAGAACTTTTTATTTTGCTTAAGCATGTCGTTAAGTCGTAAGAGAATGTTAAAGCATCGCAAATATTTACTATTATGTCCAAACAAAATTACTTATTGCGTATTTATGAATGTATATTTAGTTCTTGTTAATAATGAAAACAATGTAAAAGCATATTAAGTTTCAAGTTTAAAAAAACTTGCAACTTATTATTTTCAATTTTGTGCGGATTTATATGCTGTATCAATTTGCTCCGTGGTGGTCAACTTCAGGGGGTAACACTCTAATCAGAGAAATTAAATGGTGTTTTCAGCGCTATGTGACCTCGTAGACGGAAGTGAGAAACTAATTTTACGCTTTTACTTACTGAAATGATCAACGACATGTGTATTATTTCTTCAATAACCTGTAGTACCCTGGCGACATCTATGATTTTCATTTTTTACCTTCTACTCAATCTACCTTCATCTGTTTATTTAAAATTTTCAAACGTCTAAATCATCAAAATTTAAAATAACCTGTAATAGCGGTAATACGAGGTGTGTCCGGAAAGTAATGCAATTTATTTTGTGTTGGTACTTAAAGTGGCCGCAGAGAGTTCCGACCTGTTGGATTGGGGGGGGGGACTCTCAGTTTCAAAACGATGCCTTCGCCAATCTGCTCCGAGCAGTTCGGGCGTCTAGACCGCTGTCTCCGCGCACCCCTGTTTAGTGCCTGTATCACGAAATGCGATGGAATCGTCACTTGAGCAACGTTACGCGATTAAGATTTGTTCGAAACTAAACAAATCTTTTGCAGAGACCCACTAATTGATTGTGCAAGCTTTTGGGGATAGTGCTGTATCGTATTCGCAAGTTTCGCGGTGGTTGAAAGCGTTTAAGGAAGGCCGGGAAGAGGTGGTCGACGAACCCCGCGCTGGACGGCCGTCAACCAGCACAACCGACAATTTGACCCGTGTGCGCGATCTATTAAATTCTGACCGTCGGTTGAGTGTCCGGATGATTGCAGAAACTCTCAACATTCCCAAAACAATTGTACACGAACTGGTGACCGATAAACTGCACATGAGGAAGGTGTGTGCCAAGCATTGGGTGTTATAGGCGAAATATTAAATTAGACGAAAATATACCCATGAAGTAATAATTGAGCGCATAGCAGTAACGAATCATTCTTCCTAAACACATATAGTATGTTACATTGAAAACAAAATATATCCTAAAAATAAAAAAAATATTTGGTCAGCCTTATAGTAATATTTAATTCTTTCAAAGATCTCGACTTC